AACCTGATTTTAAGAAGGAGAAGCATCATTGCTAAGAATGGAGATTATTTCATTTAATAAATGTTTTGTTTTAATATATAAGTTGTTCGGGTTTTTTCATCTAAAAAAAAGGCAAGCATTAATTTCTTGACGACCTAATATTTATGGTAACACAAATACAGTTAAAGCTGTGATGGTAATTGAGATAATAACTCTTTGCGAACTAACAAAAAAAACTTTATTATTGTTTGACTACCTTAATGGTGATTCTTCACCGAGTTGTAGTTTCCACAAGCTTCATTAATAGCTCTTCTTTACTGAGTTCTGGATTTCTGAAGTTGTTATCAGAATCCCAAATTTTACAATTTGCTTGTTCAACAAACCATTGATATAAGTTAAACTTAATAGAAACAGTAGAATTTGTTTGTAGTTTCTCACACAGATCACACATCCATCTTTGAAGGGTAATTTTATATTTATCCTTCCACTGAAAATGTTCATTGTATAAAGTACTGTTAGACCCAACAAGCTTCAAGTGCTCTGCAAGTTTCCTTGGATCTGGATAATCCAAACTATTAATGAACGCCCCTGGAGGAGCCAAACTTCTATAATCTGCTCCTCCGAATACGACTGGTACAATGTCGTAGTTCAGTGCATTAAAAAACTTTTCTGTCACGTAATCCTTACAAATAGAGTTTTCAAATGACAAGTAAAACTTATATTCTTTGAAAAGTTTTTCGTAGCACTTTGATGACTGAGAAGGGAGACAAACATTATTTCCACATCTGCCATAAATGTCTACAGAAATAAATCTTCTTAATTCTTCAACATATTTTTCTCTCTTACTTGGTGTGGAACAATGACTTACAATCCACACAGTATCTTTATTTTTCCCTTGTAAATAGTCGTGATTCTTCTGACTGGCCGACGACGTCTCTCTACATATTTCTCCATATCTTACTGGTATATCTGAATCTTCCCGATATGTCATTGTCCAGTTGAACAACCCCTCTATTCTGTCCCAAGGAAGTTTAGTGCGTTTCGGTGATTCTAGGCCATATAGAATCCAACGTTGGTCTGGTTTCCTTTGTTGAGGAAACTTCATTTTCAACTTGAAGTCTGCCATGTGAAAGAGTACAGCATTAGCTGATAATAGTTGCCTTCGGTCGCTGGTAACAGAGCATTTATGTTCACAGTTGTATCTGTTAAATGTTTTGTTTTGGGTTAAGAAAAAATAATAATCTTTCGAAAACAGTGAGTTAAAATATTTCGTCCAAAGCAATATAACCTTCGTCCTCTGTGAAGTTGTTGAATTATTTAAAGGAACCTTGACAACCAGAGTTTGTCCTGGAACCGAAACGTCCACTGTTGACGCTGGACAAACATGTTTTGACTCAGGTATATTGTTTCCATGCTTTGTATCCAACTTCTGCCAATGTAATAATATCCATAGCATTCCAAGACCAAAAATCGTACAAAGAAATAAAAAAATCTTCAAGATACCAAACAGACGGGAATACGCAGGTATTTTCATGACCCTGTAAGATATATGTTTAGAGAAACATTAATTTTATTCTCATATATATATATTGTAAAATGTATCAATTAAAAGGTTAATTTATTCATATTGTACTTATTACAACGTCCACTTAATAATGAAAATATACAATAAAGACAAGCCTATTTAATCGTTTCTCAAAACTTCACAATGATATTTTTTTTCGAAATTTTATCGCTGCAAGGTCATACAAATATCATAAACAAAAATAAGCTACTATATATCCAAAAGTTACATAATGTGTACGAAGTTCTCTGAAGTTTGAAACTATTTCATTCTCTAGTTTTCTTTGAAAATGCTGTGAAACAAACTATATGTTGCGTCAGCGAGGTCAAGTGACTAGTGTCACGCCACTTCTCTCGAACCTTCGTGAATTGTCGGGAGATTACTAGATATAGGTAATCTGATATATATAAGATGGTCACAACATGACGGGATCAATGTGTGTAGGTAGTGAGTAATTGATCTGCAGTCAGAGAGTATTGTTGGAGTTAACGTTCGTTATAGCGTTTGTTTTAGCGCGAATGTTGAAATTAAGTGTATCGTAAAGTTATATTCAGAAAGAATAAACCAGTTTTATTAAGTAAGGACTTGTGTCGCTAAAGTTTCGTCGGAACGAAGTTACGGAAAATCAATTAACAAACGGAGACGTAACATGTACATCGAGTGCGTCGTAAAAAAAAAAAGAAAACAAAATTACAGTTTGAACCGAAAAGTGCTACGATACGGGTTGTTAAACATATCGAATGAGGTTGAGGTCAAGCTTCAACATTTTGGTTTCTATATATGACGTAGTAGTCTTACGTCCAACATGTTAAACCTCACGAGTAAACATTAATTACATATATATAGAACCTCAATTAGAAAGTCAAACACACACACACACACCACCCTTCTCTCCATCTTTAATATAAAACGATGGCGTTCGCTAAAACAGGGGATCTTGAGGCCTTTACTTACCACATATTTCTGTGAATCGGTGAAAGAAAAAAGCACAGGGTTTTCATATCTCTCCAAGTAAACTGTTTGAAAATGACCTACAAACAGAAGCACTATTTAGTTGTTCTGTTATTGTTTTCTTTAAACAAATTATCCAGGAAAGCTCAGGTGATGTAATACACATTGCAGTATGTTCGGAATAGTAGCTAGGTGGTGTATAAGTTTATTTCTATATGAAAGTGAAACAAGCTCTCGAACCGTGTCATATATATATAGGTTCTACTTATCAGTGACAGATGACAAGTGTTTTCCAAATCCAGATACTCAAGTGATATGGATTCCCATGAATTGTAATAAATGTTCACCATCTGTTTGAACAGTTGTTTTCATTCGAGAGATAGCTGTACAGTGTTTTCTGTGAACTTACCATATTCACACTATCGATTTTAATGCATGATACTATTGGGAAAAGCGAGGTTTTAGGTTAATCGTAATAAGGGTTGTGTTTAATTCAGACTGAAATGTCTTCACACTGATTTTTGGAACATATTGTATTCCTAGTGTTCACACTAGGGTAAAACTATCTGAGATTAAACATGTGCCTGTATTGTCAAAAATGTGTTAGGTGGTGAAATCCGTGAAAATTTTAAAAACTTGTCATTGATGATGAGTTAACAGGTATGGGCTGTATCAGACATTTAGACCTTGTTATCAGGGTTTTGAGGGCTGTATCAAACATTTAGCCCTTGTTATCAGGGTTTTGAGGGCTGTATCAGACATTTAGACCTTGTTATCAGGGTTTTGAGGGCTGTATCAGACATTTAGCCCTTGTTGGGCTGTATCAAACACTTAGCCCTTGTTGTCAGAGTTTTGACTAGTGTGGGTGATCAAGATTCATACTTAACATTAATAAGATCTGTACTGAATGTTTCAGATACACCATACAAGGAAAATATGATTAGTATGGCTGTAGATGGAGCTAATGTTATGATGGGTAAAAACGTTACTCAAAGTTTATATACCTAATCTTTTTGTAATGAAATATATATTGAAGACATGGCTCGCGATATATCTTCTTTCACCTAAACGAGGAATTTCAAGAGTTTGTCACTGTTAAGAAACATAAAATCTTGTACCCACGTTAGACACGTTGATCGTCACTCCACAGTGTTGTCAAACTATTGTATCCATGTTAGACACGTTGGTCGTCACTCCACAGTGTTGTCAAACTGTTGTATCCATGTTAGACACGTTGGTTGTCACTCCACAGTGTTGTCAAACTGTTGTATCCATGTTAGACACGTTGGTCGTCACTCCACAGTGTTGTCAAACTGTTGTATCCATGTTAGACGCGTTGATCGTCACTCCACAGTGTTGTCAAATTGTTGTATCCATGTTAGACACGTTGGTCGTCACTCCACAGTGTTG